ACACTTACTCATTCACTCACTCACTCACACATTCATTCATTCACCACTCACTCACTCATTAAATCATTCATTCACTCACTTATCCATTCCCTCACACATTCATTCACTCAGTCATTAAATCATTCACTCACTCATCCATTCCCTCACTCACTCACACGTTCATTCACTCACTCATTAAATCATTCATTCATCCTCTCATCCACCTACGCATGTATTCGCTCACTCATTCCTTCATTCACTCATGCATTCCCTCACGCACTCATTCCCTCCCTCCCTCCCCCTCACACACTTAGCCATCTGCTCAGTCATTCTGTCACCCGTCCACTTCCCAGCTTGGATGGAGTAGCACGCCCCCGTGCACAGCAGGGAGTAATGGACACTAACTCTGTCAACGGGCGAGCCTTGGCCCCGTGAAGGCCACACAAAGACGGTGGCGTTTTCTGGGTGTGAAAAGCTTGGCGAGCCCCTGCTGGCCGAGGAGGAAGGAGCTGGGACCAAGCCCTCAAGAAGGCAGCATCTGTGTGGCTTTGATGAGCTGCGGGGGTGGGGCGTCGACGCTGGAGGGGAGCGAGGCGCTGCCGGACGCCGGGCGGGAAGTGGGATGAGATGGGGCAGGGGGGACCCGCCGTGGCCCGCCCCTGCCGACTGGCTGGCAGTGGTGCGTCGCCAATGTGCCCAGGGGACGGCTGTCTTAGTGGCCGCTGAGCCTGCCCTGGGGAAGCCGTGGGTGGATATCCCAACCCCACGTGCCGGCTCCAGTCTACCCCGAGCCCACAGCTCAGAGCTGACCCTCAGCCCTCCCACTGCTGCTCAGGCCCTGCACCTCTGGCCAGAACACGTGCCAGGCTTCCAGCCTGGGCACCGCCTCACGTGCTGTCAGAAGACAGCGTCCCCTCTGACCTGTTTCCAGCTGCCTCTTCAGATCACATCCCTCACCCACCCCACACCCCTTCCCTCACGGTCCCAGCTGCTCATAGAGAGCGAAGTCTAGGAGCCTGCATGCAGCCGGGCTGACAGTGAGGGGCAGTGGAGGCCAAGTACCTGGGCGGCTGTAGTGCTGTGGGGACCGCGAGGGCGGGGTGTAGCGCCCCAGGCTGACGGAGCCCGCCGAGCTGGGGCTGGAGGTCCGGCATTGTTTGTACGACCGGTCATCCTGCTCTGCCTGCGGGAACACACAGCCCATGAGTACTCTGCACAATCTCGTCCATCCAGCCCTCCACACCCCAGTGGCTGACTCCGTGGGGCCTGGAAGTAGCCCGACACCTGCCAGGCCCATTTGAAGAGCTGGGTGTGGAGGCCTCGGTGCTAACAGCCCCCTGGCTGCCAGGCCACCCCTCCCCCCAAGAGGCGGCAGAAGCTTCCTTCCCCCTGCACCCCTCCCGCCCGGCCAACCCCAGTACCGGGGCTCCTCGGAACACAGTCTGAGGACCACCGAGGTTCCGCACTCCCCCGGCCCGAAGGGGCTTCCTGTATATGAATGGGGACTTGGGGGCCCCCGAGGCACACTTGGACAAGGGCACCCCTTCTGGAAGCAGCGGGTGGAGGCATGCGCGCAGACACAGGCAGCAAGATGGGTGGGCAGGGGCCTGGGGGACAGTCGCCTGGTCCCACTGCCTGGTGGGCTGGCACAAGGGTGACAAGCCCACTCGGCCTTCCGCCAAGCGGCGACCCTCTGCCATGCCCCTCAGGCCAGCACTGGTCAGTGATGGGTAGTGTGAGGTCCCGGGCCTGGCGCACAGCTCCCGTGGCCTTTCTGGCTGGCCACACGGACCTGACCACTGTCCCTGAGCATGCTGGGTCACCACCCCTCATGCTGCCCACATCAGGTCTCTGGCTGCAGTACCACCTGCCAGTCCCTGCCCATGCTTCCCTGGGCTCCTAGGGCCGTCCCTCCCGGTGCCTGGAGCTCTGGCGGTCTGCCCCTCTCTGCATCCTGTGCACAAGCTGTAGGCTGGGTTGCCTCAGAGGGGTCCTGTCTGAGGGGCCTGGCCCACGTGCTGGTGATCGTGGTGTGTGAGGGGCCCAGTTCCAGATCCAGTGAGCCAGATGTCGCCAACACGTGGCCATTTAGGGGGTAGGTCAGGGGGTGGGGCACACCAGCCCCTTGCACCAGCCCATTTGGGCTAAGAGTCGGTGGGGCCTGGCAGCAGAAGACTTTGGGGAACTTAACTGACTATTCGGTGCCTCAGTTTCCCCGCTGGCAAGCAGGAAAGTCCCAGGATGTAGCTCTTGGATCTGTCATGGACTGCTCTGTGTCCCCCCAAAACGTGTGTTGTAAACCCTAACCTCTGTGCCTGTGGTTACAGTCCCAATGGGGATGTCCCACTGTCGTCAACGAGGCAGGACTGGTGTAGGGTGTGTCTTGAGTCCAGCTCTCTTATTAAACAATCAGAGATGGCGGAAGAGAGAGACCGCGTTTGTCAAAGAACCAAGGAGGACAACTGAAGAGCAGGGACCTCCCAGAGCCGACAGAGAGAGCATGCGAGCGAGCCCCCTGAGCGTGCAGCTGGCCCGGACTCCCAGCCTCCTGTGTCGTTGCTATGTGCCATCAAGGCGGATCTGACTCATAGCGACCCCTCCTCAGGTTTCCGAGGCAGTATCACTATGGAAGTAGATTGCCCAGTCTTCCTTCTGAGGAGTGGCTGGTGGGTTTGAACCACCAGCCTTCTGGTTAACAGTCAAGTGCCTTAGGCACTATGCTACCAGAGCTCCTTCCTGACAGTCTCTGGGTGCAGCTATAACTCAGATACCACAAGGGGGCGCTTTAATGAACAAAAATTTGTTCCTGACTGTGAGAGAACAAATTTCTGTCCATTAAAGCGCCCCCTTGTGGTATCTGAGTTATAGATGCACCCAGAGACTAAGGGTCCTTGCAGGACTTCAGGAACAGATGTCAGGGTGTTGCTCAAAACCTCACTGACCACACAGTAGGCACGTAAGGGGCTGGCTGTTGTCCCTGTCCCTTTGACCTGGCTGCAGTGAGACCCTGCACTGTCCTGTCTGGATCTAACAGGGAAATTGAGGTCTAAGGGTGGGTGATGGACGTTTCTGCCTCACTTTGAAAACAGAAAAACGGGCTGCTAACTGTAAGCACTGTTCGATCCAGGAACGATTCCAGAATGTTCTCCACTAGGACTGGGCACTTCCACGTACTCCCCTTGGAGAGGCACAAGTGACACCCAAGTTTGCTCTCTAAATAAACCGTGGCCCAGGACTGGGGGCTCAGGCAAGACCCGGGGGCCTAGACGTCACGGTCACAGCATGCAGATGACATGGGATTATAAACATAACTAGCGCCAAGGTGGGCCCAGCCGGGGCAGGAGCCGGGGCCCTGCCTGGGGGACGCTGGTGTTATCTTTATAACCTGGGCGGCGGGAGGCAGACGGGGAAGCAGGCGGGCAGTGTTACCTCAGTAGGCGTTGGCGAGAGAAGCTGAGGGGGCTGTGGACACAACACAGAGGGGCCGTCAGTGCTGTGGCCCGTGCCACAGCGGGTTCAGTGGCCACCACGGGCTGGCACAGAGGACACGCACACAGTCACGCTTCAGGGCCTGGCCCTCAACCACCAAAGACACACACACAGGCTTCTGGAACCTTGTTTGTGGAGAATATGTCAGATAGCAATGAGGTCTCAGAGAAAGGCATTCAGGCCGGGCAGCCTGGAGGGTGGGTGGCCCGGCCGTGCCCACTCAGTGGTCCCCGAGTCCACTGAGACACCTGGTGACCCCACGTGGTCAGACAGGACTGTGCTCAGTGGGGTTCCTAATGGCCGTTTCTCACAGGTACAGCCTGAGGTACCTCTAGCTGACTCGAACCTGCAATCTTTCAGTTAGTCCAGCGAGCCCACTGTCTGTACTTCCTGGGGGCTGGGCATGGTTTTTAGGGCCAGAGGCAGCAATATCTGGAGGCCCCATCACCCCCAGGTCTCTGCTAAAAGGAGGGAAAAGGGGGCCCAGCAGAAAGGGGGCGCGATTCAGAGTCTCAGGGCTTGGGGTTCAGTCTGGCTCTGTGGGCAGCACCGGGACATGGGGCGCTGGCAGATCTGAGCCCACACAGTGCCCCTATCAATCATGGCTCCCCTGGCGCCTCCGCCCTCACCTCCCAAGAGCCCCTGCAGTGGTCTCGAAAGGAGGAGGTGGGGCGGAAATGCTTTGGAGCACTGTGGGTCCCTGCTCCAGGCTGTGCCCGTGCCCGGCCACGTACACACACCTACACACACAGGGCCACCAGCCTTCTCTCCCAGGTACCCATGGTCACGTGGCACTCCGAAAGCCACAAAAGGAACCGCAAAAGCCAACAACCGAGTCCACGTTAACGGGGAACAGCCTTGAGTCGGAAACCAAACCAGCTGCCGCTGAGTCGACTCCGACTCCCGGCGCCCCCGCGTGGTCAGAGGGGACCACACTCCATGGGGTTTCAGGGGCTGGTTCTTCACAAGTGGTCAGCGTCCTTCTTCTGAGGCGTGTCTGGGTGACACACGTGGCCGGGCCTACAGCCCTTCAGTTAGCGGCCGAACCCTTAACCACCTGCCCCACTGGGGGCCTCCTCTGAAGTCGCCCCATGTTCAGGACAAAGCCCCCAGGAACACCAAGGGACACAAACTGTGTGGCTTGACGAGGGGTCAAACGGCTCAAGGAACCCTGGGCTGAGGGGCCTGGCCTCGGTGAGTGAGGAGGGGCGTGGCCTGGAACGTTCTGGATGAAGGAACGTGAGGCACTGTGGGCGCCAGGAAGCAGCCCAGGGCCTGAGATGGTGACAGACCCACCGCCTGCCCACTGCGTCCCCACAGCCAGCACCCGTCCCGCCCTCGCCCTGTTGGCCGTGGCTCGTCCAGACCTCTGAGGGAAGGGCGCAGTGTCTGTGAGGGGCTGGGGCAGAGCCTGCCGGCATCAGCAGACGCGGGACCGAGTTCCCGCAGAGCAGAGCTGGGCCCCAGAGCGTTTGCTTGGCAGCAGTCTTAAGCAGGCTACCAGGACTTCCTTCTGAGATACCACTATGTGGGTGTGAACTGCCAACCTCAGATTGGCAGTGGATCACAGAACCCAGGGGCCTCTGGGCGATTAAATGAGATGTGTGTGGGGTTATCTGAGGGGGCAGGAGAAGGTGACCATCTGGAGAGGGCACCCTGGGTTTCCATGCCTGGTCCCCGCCTGGCGTGCCCCCCATGCCTGCTGGGCCAGGGCTGGCCGGCGGGCACGCACCTCGCTGTAGCTCTGCTGGTCGCCCACGGAGTGGCTGATGTAGGGAGAGTAGGAGATCATGTCAGGGCGGTCGATGTTGTAGATGGCCTTGTTCTTGGGCAGGGCAGCCAGGTCCCGGTAGTCGAGGACCTCGTCACCGAGCTTGGCCTGGGAGGCGAAGGGGGCACAGGGGAGACAAGGGTTAGACGGGATCCCCAGGGGGCGGGCAGCCGTCACGTGGCCAGGTCACACCACACAGGGTGGCATGGAGTGCACCCCAATGCTCGTGGCCAGAGTGACATGGGCTCAGGCAGGTGGGCCTCGGGCCAGAGGCCCAGCTACTAAGGAGCCACGTGGCCTAAGAGCCCCTGCTGGCATCAGCGTCCTTCAGGACCATGCCAGGGTCCAAGAGAGCAGCCCAGGAAACACCCGGGACAGGGCACACCTGGGGCAAGGCCTGGTGAACCTACACACACACATGTACACAGACGTGACTGTGCATGTCTGCATAAACCCATTCACGTGTAAATACACACACACATGCACACATGCACACGCCAGGCACAGGGT